CATACATTACGCAACATTAACGTGATTCCCCCCCCCCCCATATTCTGCAACACACTTGCTCGAGTTTTTCCTGTGCGAGGATGTGTGTGGCATTCTTTATTATCTTGTTTGCTTTATTCTAGAGGTGAACAAAGACATAAAGATAAAAGTGCGCACTTTTGAGCAGGCTTGCGGAAGCGAATGATCTGAGTCAAAGAGCCTCGATTCTTAACTCATTCAAGCGGAACTATCCACGAGCAAACATTTCTTCAATGAAGCTTCTGATGACGAAAATATTTCTTTAGAACATAACGGTTAACTTATTGATAATGAAGATTCTGAACGCACTGAAGAAATGTTGTGCGTCTTGAAGTTTCAGGATGATGTAAGCGCTGAACGTGACGGCAAAGCCTTGACACATATCCTTGCCACGAATATTCAGCATGAGGCGAAGCTTCACATCAAGGCGAAGCTACTCGAGAGCCTACCAAGCAGGGTTATCTGCCAGAAGGGCTCCACAAGTCAACGCGGGTTGAGGATAATACAAGCATGCTACAGTGCAATATGAGAGCACTGTACCGGCTAAAAAGCGGTCAATACCTGATCTAAAATTGATCAAATGATAATTTGCGGCACTCGGCTGAGTGAAAATCAACACCTATTTTCAAGGCCTTATAATGCAGCCTTTTACTCTGAAAAAAGAAACTCACATTCTTGGACACCTTTAGGGTGATTTAGATGAAGATAGGATTCACACAGAACACAGATGAGCGCTGACTTTCAACTCAGTTTATTCGCACATCTGCAAGCTTTTTTATGCGCCAAGACCTGCCTGTATCAACCTATTGGCGCATAAAAAGGACTTGTTGAAGTGCAAATGAACTCCGTTGAAAGTACGCGCTCGTCTGCGTTCTGTGTGTATCATGTCTTCGTCTAAATCACCCTAAACCTATCCGAGTATCACCAACTCGCACAACTCACCAAAGTCAAAGTTCTATTTGCTCCTATGCATACTTAGACTGATTTTCTGATGTATAGAAGACACTCTGCAGCACATGGGACTTTAATGCTAACGCCACGATAAAAAACAATAATTATTAGGTTTCAATAACCCTATATATACAAGCGACCAACAATGCATGCAAGGCAGTGTCTTCGGTACAGTGCTTGGAAGGTCAGTGAACACTGTTATAGAACGCACGGGCGCGAGCATTAGCCGACGGCTACGTTGGAGAAAGAATGAAGGCTCTGTTCGTAATGGGAGAAGAAACAATCTTTTTGTGGCTGCGTTTCACAGTAAGCGTTCATTCTTGATCCCATGAAATCACTCGAAAACTGTGTTTTATTCTTACACGAATAACCTCCCGAACAACCTAGAAGAAACTGAGCACTAGTGATAAACTCAGTAACACGCACAACGAAACAACACTCGTTTCAAATCAAAGTACATGGTTTGTGCGTAAATAAATAGGAGTGCTGAATGTGTGAAGTGATGATACGTCTCAGAAAACCAGGGCAGGTTTGCATTGTTTAGGGTGAGGTTGACTTGCACAGGCATGCTCATTCCGTCATCTGCAACCGTTCAAAAAGTAAGCACATGCTTTTACGTGAAACTTACTTTTCTTTGCCGTGTAGCGCTCATTATAACAATGGGGGAAAATATCATTGCTAATATTTGCCTAGCCCACAATGTAAAATTTTCCTATTGTAAATACAGCCTATATGGGTTAAGGTCTGTCAGCTTGTTGGCGCATCAAGCATCCCGAAAATAAAACGATATAATTTAGGGACAGCTCACAGAGTCAAGATGGCTTGCGTCAAGGTTCTAAAGCACATTGTGGAGGAGGTGTAACATTAAGCCTTGAATACCTGGAAATCAACTGGCAACGATGTATCGACAGGGTAGCATCCTATTTTGGAGACATTGTTTAGCGATATCATGAAAAATTTCTTTTCACTCGACTCTCTGAGATTGCTTTTCGGACTTTCACTTTCACTACGGCAAGCTCGTGATGCGTATCGGACTTAGTATATTTGTTTGCACTTCTGTGCACATGCATATAAATTATGAACTCAAATCTTCTGACTATCCGTAAGAGTCAACAAAAAAATAGATTCATCGATTCTGGGTGCTCTGTTCTTAATGTCTTTTTTGTATTACGACAATAAGGCTCTTAATCCATACTTATTTCCTGCTAGTATTTCTAAAGCATCACCACATGTACGCGTTGGGGCACGTCGGCACGTTCCAAGCAGGCTCGGCCCCACACCCTCTAGACCCGAGATGCCCCTTTTCTCCTGCATGACATGAAGGCGGCAGTAGCTAAAATGCGCAGACGAGCAGCACCTGGTAAGCATAAAAACACGATTTAGATGGTGGCTAATTTAGCCGATACTACACTGGCATACCACTTGGAATACATTAACGCCATCAGGAGTGATTGTATATCGGTCACACTCATCCCTAAACCAGGGAAGCCAGTAAACACTGACAATTTTCCCTCCATCTCTTTAACTCCTTGCATTGGCAAGTTGATGAAGACGATGGTGGTGGACATACTTTGGGAATATCTTGAGCATAAAGGTGATTTCACTCCTACCATGTTCGGATTCAGTGCTCACAATTCGGCACAGGATGTACTCCTGCAACTATACCGTGAGGTCATCCAACCAGTGGCGATGAAACAACGACAGGGTAATCATCGCCTCAGATCTCAGCATGACAATGCTAAACACAGCACCATTCTCGAACACCCAAGCCTCACTAAATGTGGTCAGAACACAATTACTATGCCAAAGACTTTTTTTGTCGAACAGAACCACGCTACTCCGCATTGAAGGCTCCAAATTCAGGCAGTATGAAATGGCAACTAAAAAGAAACCGCAAGGCACTCTTCTTTCTCCCATAAATTAACATCGTAATAATGCACCTGCCACGTCAGCTGGTGGGCATAGAGTGCGTTCACCATGTCGCCTATGTCGATGACATTATGGTATGGGCAACACAAGGAAACATAGGTGCCGTTGTGCATCTGCAACAGGCTGCCGAAATTGTGCACACCTAAGAGGCGTGTTGTGGACCTGAATGCGTACTCAGCAAATGCGAATTACTTCACATAGAGGCATGGCTAAAGACAACGCAGATATCTCTATCGCTCTTGCTGTGGGACTTACCAGACGAGCGGAGGAGATCAAGGTTCTGGGCCTATACATTCTCCAGCAGCTCCAGATTGACCTAACATTGACAAAATCAGGGAAGATAGGAGACCAGGTGGGTCGCATGATCCGCAGTGTCTCCAAAAACAAGGGGAACTTTAGTGCACAGATCCGTTGCGACTAGCGTACGCTTGTTTCACCAGCAGGTTCATGTACCCCGTTTCTTAGATATCTTTCCACAAAATGAAGAAGAACGAATCAAGGAAATCATAAAAAGGCAATAAAACGGGCTTTTGGTCTTCCCGTCTTTATATTCAACAACCATCTCATGCCATTGGGTATAACTAACTCATACCAAGAGCTCACACAAGCCCATATTTTAAACGAGTACACGCGGCTAGCTCAAACCAACTCTAGACAACGCCTGCTTTAACGTCTGCCCATAAGACATGACTTGGAACAACAGCAAGGAGTGGGTCAAGGTGCCAGAACGGTGGCGCACAGCCCTTATGGTCCGACCTGTACCCACTAAAATGGACAGAGATGAAGACACCGCGCGACATGCCGCACACACTCGGGCACTAGAACGACGATCTCGACAGAAGCTAGGTTTATACTACGAGGACGTTGCTGGCCCCAAGTCCGAGGGGTGGTGCACGGCGGCTGCTACTCACGAACGCACCTAGGCGGATGGGTAACCTTCAGAGCGTATTATGTATTGCAAGATGAAGCGGTCGCCTTCGCCCTTGCGGCCTCTCACAGTAACTTTCTTCACAGTAACTTCCCTTCACGCCGAACAAGTCGTGATTATATAGCCGAGTACATATCACCGTTAGCCGAGACAGTAATGCGCAACTGCATAATACACACGCAACCTCATCCTAAACGCATTATATGAACACCGGATCATCACAGATTGCGGGAAAATGAAGCTGCAGATGCGGCTGCCCGAGCGCTTATTTCCGGGCTACCTTTGCCAATGCCTACGTAAAAGAACGAGGAGGGTTATCCTTCCTCGATAGATTCGCTCGCTGGATTCCGTGCCGACCGGTTGTGCCCTCGTGATCGTCGACGACAGCGTAGGTCTGGCCGACTGGGTCGGTCCTACGCCTTCTCCTGTCGCCGACAAGAGCTCTCGCCAGTGGTGCCCCGTTCTCGGACTCTTGCAACCATGTCCATCATTACTGTCTTCTCCTCACTTCCGTCGCTTCTGTCACTGCGCCTTGTTCTCTCCTTCATCTCTCCCTCTAGCTCTTTGCCTTTTCATCCTATCTTTTTATTCCCTTCTCTACCCCCATCCCTCGTTAGCTACTGTTGAGGTGTCTTCCCCCAGAGAGACAGTTACGGAGCTCATTTTTCTCTTCTTTTCATTTATAATGACTTCCCCCCTTTCTCGATATATGGGGAAATTATTCATTGTTATCGGGAAAGTCATCGATGCTACCCTCTACCCACAAGAGGGTTGAAGAAGTGTAGGGGGGTGGGCGGGTGGTGGACACTTTTTACATGGTGTGGGCCTACAAAGAAAACTTAGCCGTTACTTGTAACCCAAAGTCTAGGCGAGAGGACTGAGAGGCGGCCCTGCTCGGCTGCCCAGACCTTCAGGCCCAGCAGGCCTTGGCTCAGAGGGCCAGGACGGCGGTTTTAACCGACGTCCTGGCCCTCTGAGCCAAGGCTCTTAGCACACCGCAGTGTGCTAAGAATCCCGAAAGTACCTCAAGCTTTCGCGCCACCTGGGAAAAACTGGCTGCTCACGTGCTCTACACAGACGTGTCGGTGGCTGTAGATGTGGTTGTCTTTATTTTGTCTTGGATAGAGGTATCACTATACGTTATAATAAAAGGCATTTTTGTTATCTCTCGCAGCTTCGTCGCTGGGTGGCCACTGCGACTACGATGAGGCGTGTGCCTTCTCGGTGGCTCACTCGTCCTGCCAAAGCAACGAGTGCCGCTGCCTCGATGGACACGAGCCCGACGCACATGCCACAAAGTGCACGCCCGGTGAGTAGTCACAGTTGCAGCAACAACACCAGGCCCTGTTTCCGTTCAAAGATTATTAGTGGCGACCATAATTAGGGTACAATACTAAACCATATAGGGGCAGAGCTATGGCGCAAGGTCGAATAACATTCATTTATGATGCGTATTCGTGTGCATATGACGACAGTTATAACGGGGACCACTCGCCTCAACCATTACCTAATGATTAAACCAACACCGAAAACACCCTGTCGGGCAGACACAATTTTACGGAAAAAGCCCAAGGTCTCAGTTAAAGCGAAAAGTACAACCGAGACCAAACCATGGTCTTCGCCAATGCCGCCAACCAAGGACGAAGCACATACACCCTGAGTGTCGTAGGCGGAGAATTTAGAATCGTGAATGGGGCTTCAACCAGAGCCGCATCAATCAAGGCGGTTGAAGAACTGGCTACATGCACTGGCGACATGAATCGTAGTACTTACACTGTCCTTAGCGACACTAAGAGCGCTATTCTCAGTTTTATTTGAAGTGTGGGACAAAATACGGCCAAGGCCCTGAAAAATTTCAGCCAGACCGGCTGAACCAAAATCGATTTTGTTTGGGTCCCCACTTACTGGGGAAACCCCGGTAACGAGGAGGCACATATCGCGCGATGGTTAGCGAACTGGGTCGTGCTTTCCTTTGGAAGCACGGCCACCGACAGTAGTGCGAATGACCTCCGCTAGCGACCTTACAAATATGCGCAAGGATGACAGGCAATTGTACCCTATACCTCTTAGCAATCTTACGAGACCACAAGCCACTACCCAACGCTGGATTGGGACTAACACCTTAAACATTCCTCACCGCTTAGACCTCTTCACATGCGGAGAAGTTCACTCATAATGCAAAACTTGGGATGAAAATGCTGTAGCAAACTAGAAATTTGAAGTAACATAGCCTGGGAAGTCGAGGGCATTTCGCCACGCAGAGATCTTCTGCCAGGTTTCTCAGAAGCGACATTGAAAACTTGAATACGGTCCCCCAACGAGGAACGGCAAAAATCCGTCGTTGCATGGGCAGAAGAAGTGGCCGCAGACAGGCGGCCTGCTTTGAACCCCCGAAGTTTCTTTAAATAGAGTTGTACCCTTCTCCTTATCCTAAATGCGAAATATATTAAAAGAACGACTCCTCGAATTTGCGAGCCCGTAAACTTGCATTAACATTATGAATGCTAAATCACTTCAACATTCAGACGAAATTTCATTAGCACGACACAAAGTCCAAAGTCCACGAGCTCCCTGGTGTTTGAATGTCCCGGAGAATAAGCGCTGTGTCGTAAAGTATTCGAATAATATGGAACTCATTAACTTACACGCATTCTGCTACAATCTTCAAATTAGATGAATTCTCTGTGCTAATGGTTGTTTGTTCTAACGACTTTGCCCGCTTTGGGTATGAAGGTGACCAAGGCGGTCTTCCACTCAATTGGAAGGGGTGTTTGCTCGATTAAAATTGAGTGGATGTGTGCAAAGAGTTTTGTGTAGGCTGAGCCAGGAAAGTTGGAAGGTAACTTTACTTTACTTTCTAGTGCCATTCCTCGTCTCGTTTTCGCCAGACCCACCTTTGATCCAGCTCTCAGTGCCAGCATACGAGCACGCTCGCCCTTGGGAGTCGAGCTGTATGAATATATCTTGGACGTGGAGTTTACGTGCCAGTTCTGCAGTGTCTCTATCCAAGATTTGAAACGCTCGCTGGAGATGTTTTTGTGTCTTTGTTTGAGGTTGCGTAGGATCAATTAAGTCATAGAAACACCAGATACTACGCCTGTACATTCGTCAACTGGCCGTGTTGCATCGCTTCACCCAGTTAGCACATCGTATGTCCCGCCGTGCTTCTCACAAGCGCTGGGAGTTACAATGCATAGGCGCCTTGCGGCTGACTCACGCTTTCGTAACCAGCCATGTCCTCTATTGAGCTCCATATCTGCACCTGTAAAAGTACGGAAAAATGCAATTAAATTTGACCTCCGCAACATCTACAAGTGCGCCTTCGAACACATGGTTAACATCTCCGACCAACGCCATTTGGGCCTAGATATGGTGAATATCTTAAACTAACCTCTAGAAACGCTCATGTCAAACTAGTACACTCGACATTTTAATACGTCGTCGGGTCACTGCCTCCTTGTCCGACTACACATTAATCGCTCAATACGTACGAAAAGGCGTGCACTGATTCTAGAAGTTTGGAAATACTCCCTGCATAGGCGCTCTCTTCCAGCTAACATGACCCAGGACGTCCACACATTGAATGTGTCATAGGAGTTGTGTACCTGATTCCACTGTCATACGGCCTTGTATACATGGGCGAAACCAATAATTCTTAAACAATCGTTTACAGCTAGGAGCATTGCAGGGCGGTGACCTTAAAGGACGGTGCCCACTTGGCACAACATTGCAATATGTGTGGCTGCTCACCCTTTTTTTAGACACAACTGTCTTATAAAGGCACAGGGATAAGGCCAACCGCAAATAATTAGAATCATTGCACATTAAGAGATGCGGTGAATTATGTGTTAGCCACCCTTCCATTGCCATTTCAGAAAAAGAATACTTGTATTTAGTAAAATCACTGTACTAATTTATTTTGTTTATTTCATCTGCCTATGTATATATTTGCTTATCTTTTTTGGTTCACGCGCATGCGCTTTGATGATATTTTGCAGACTTTTTGTGGAATGGCGATGGTTTTTGTATTTTCGGGGGTTTTCAGGCGAGAGAACATGTATCTTTTGACAATTTTTGTAAGCTTAGTATGTGTTGTACCTTCAATTAACATTCAGTTGCGAGTGTGAGCTTGTGTTGTTGTTCTCTCCTCCAGTCCGCGTCACGTACCACGCCCCTTTTCTATCTTCTAGCCCAAATGGCTGTTTTGTGGCAGCGCAGCTGATGCAATGCACCGCTATGCCATCACGTGATTGCTGAGTGAGTGTCAAGAATAGATGCCTTAGCTGGCATCATTCCAGAGCATGGACCGATTGATGCGATTCAAATATAATAAAGGCTTTCGTCGTAAAATCTGCTGAGAGCCATCAATCTGGGAGGGAGCCACATTAACAGATGCATCATTTCCTGGTAGAGGCGTAGAACCAAACCAGACACCACGCTGCGTCAACTGCGTAACGAGTGGCTGTTTTTAAAGCTGCCAACCCATTGCGAAGGGCTAACCCATCATTCATGATTCATCCTCATCATCATCATCATCATCATCATCATCACATACAGCATCACCGCTCTGTGGAGATGTGCAGGCGCACATATTGCCTTACGGCGCGTAGTGGGTAGTTTGCAACTATCGGCAAATCGCATGATCATTCAAGCTTGCCTCAAGTCACGATCACTTCGCACTCACTTCATCTTTGCCACGCTCTCAAAACTAAAAATATATAAAAGTTTCTTTGTAATAAAAACTGCAGTTTGAGCACGAGAATTAAGCACGTTAGTAAAAAAATCAAAGTATTAAACTAAGGCTAGTAGCTAGTAACATTTTATTATTGCACAGCGCAAAACTACGAGTAGTTATGGCGTAACTACGGAAGAAGAGACAAAGACGAAAAATAGCGCTGAAATATATTGAAAATCTGCTAATTATCAATCACGAACTAGCCCAAGCATATGTATTTTCTAGTATCTAGTAGGTGCAAGGCTAGTAGAAGTACGGATAGTAGGTGGTCGAAATTTCCGAAGCCCTCCACTACGGCCTCTCTCATAATTATATGGTGGCTTTGGAAAATCAAACCCCCACAACTATTAATAATATTAGCAACCAACCTAGGGCAACTCAACTAAACACCGGCGTGAAGAAACTCATCGTACACCGAGTGGTTAGAACTTGGAAATGTGCGAGCTCTCTGTTCATTTTTCAAGGTATTGCGGGCGCAACTTACAATACACGATGTCTCTGCAATACAAATTTTGTGGTTGCCTGGTTGAAGTGAGCCCATCTAGATGGCACAACCTATTCAACCTAATCTGGTGAAAATAGAACGTTTTAACCAATCGCGCCATTCCCCTTGGTGACGCCAAGCGGTTATTTTTCCATTAATTACACATAAACGGAGAAGCTGCATGCGTTTTCTTAGAAGTCGTTATGATATTAGGGTTTCTTATTTCAACTGGTTTGATTACAAGCGGTTAATCATAGTCGCACGTATCGACGTCATCGGGATCATTTCCAAATGTCCCGGTTGGGGCACGCACGGTATCGTAAATTTACCTTAATTTCTGCATAAAGGTAAGCATAGTACTTTTGTTCAAAATGACATACTAGACGTTCTGAAACATTCATCTTTCTCTTTGAGGTAAACGGTTATTTACACTTAGTGCCCCTTTCAGACGATATGAAGGTGAAAGGTGCCCGTGTAGATGTAGCAGGGGCGTTGGCAGTTTTTCTTTTTTTTGCGGGAAGCCCCTCCTTCCCCCCCTGGCTACGCTACCGAGATATGAACATGAAAAGTGAGGACAATTCACAGCGTGCACACCAGAGATCATTGATAACATTGCTCTTCACGTGCGAGGACTGGTACTCTGCACGTGCGTTTGATGACGCAGCAAGCCACTAAGGCTAGGGTAGGTCCGTCTGCTTCCCAATCGGCGCAAGAAATATGCATGGAGCTTTACGTTGGGTCTTTGGCCGCCTATGTCTGGCTATTGCCAAGTCTGTGTCCATGTAACTGTAGGTTTATTTATTTATTTATTTATTTATTTAATATACCTCAAAGGCCACCCAACAGGGGGCTTTACATGAGGGTGTGGGCAAACAATATAGGGTTAATAAAACAATGATTCTATGGCATTTTTAAATCTATCCGTGTTGCTATGATGGATGACACTTGGAGGAAGATCGTTCCAGTCCCTGGCTGCTTGAGCGAAGAAGGAGTGATGGTGGGCTGTGGTACATGCAGGAGGTGGGTACACGGCCTTGTGGTGGCTTGTGCGGGCTGAAGTACGATGAGCTGATTGAATGGGACAGTTGTA